TTTACGAATATGTCGCGGACAAATTAAAAGAGGATAAGATTAAAGTTAGGAACAAGAGAGGTGGTGAAGAAATATCTAATATTAAAGAAGGTGATACTATTTTCATGAAAACTACTAGAACAAGAAAAGCTAAAGAAATGCCGCGTTATGAGAAAGCAAAAGTAGTGGGAAAATCGAATCATAACATTGTACCGGTAGAGTTGAATAAAAGAAAAACCAGAGTAGCTGCTAAAAATATAAAACGTCCTCCCCAGGTCATGGCTAGTACTCCTGATACTAGAGAGCCAAGTCCACAGCCTGGAACTTCAAAGGATGGACCAGAATCCAGGAATCATCCCAATGAAATTTGGAGTAGCAGTAATGAAGAATAGTTATTGGACAGTTTTTAAAACAGTAGACATTAAAACTTTAGGTATACAAATAAGTAATAATATAGAACTATATAATAAATTAAATGAATTAATAATGGTTAATCACTTAGATAAGGAATTAGTTGTAATAAGAGTTCAAATAGATACATTAATTAAAATAGTAGAAAATAAGTTTTACCAGTTACTTCCATATAGTATGAGGAAACGTGCTATTTTTAGTCCTTTGGGTTCTTTAGTAAAAGTCATAACTGGAAATTTAGACGAGGAAGATGCTGTTAAATTTAATGAGGAAATTAGTAAGATAAGTAATAGAGAACACTTGACGGAAATTAAAGTATCTTCTATGCACAAAGCATTTGCTACTTTAGCCAATATCTCCGAGATAATGAATCATAATATAGAAAATTTATATTTTAAAACAAATGAGTTTGATAAAGTTGTCGAAAAAGAAATTAAAATTAGTAATGTCATTCGTACTATGAATAGTTTATACCAGATTCTAAATAACTTTCGTTATATTTATGAGAGCATACAAGAAATTGAAACTGCTATTGCATTTAGTAAATTGCACACCTTACACCAATCTATTATTAATTCTACAGAGTTATTAGGTGTTTTTAAAGTGATAGAAAAACATGCACAAACAATTTATCCAGTAACAAAAACAACTTACTTAAATTAGAACGTAATATTATATTAAAGTCTTATATTGATAAGAATAAATTAGTATTTGTATTAGAAATTCCTTTGATAGAATCAGAAACGTATAACTATTACAAGGTTACTCCTATTCCTATAACAAAATCCTCTAAAACTTACACAATTATTCCTAAATATCCTTACCTATTGGTGAATGGTTTGAAATACAGAAATGTGTTGAGCCCTTGCGAGAGCATAGAAGACAACAAATACTTATGTTCAGAAGAAAATATGGCAACAGACAATGAGGAAACATGTATCGAGGAATTAATGTTAATAAAGAATAATTACAGCCTATGTCATCAACATCAAATACGAATTGAGAAGCTAAAAATCCAGAAGATAATGAACAATAGCTGGTTGATATTCACAGCAGATAAGATAATTTTGTCGGAACACTGCAGAAACGACGTCCGTCGATTCAGTTTACTGGGGACTTATATCGTGACGCCAAGTCAAGGGTGCAACATGCAAATTGGCAGAACAATCTTCGGTCAATCAAGCAATGTATCGGATGTGAATATACAGATGCCACTGGTGGTGATTCCCGAACTTCAGGAAGATTTAGCAACGCAGATAAAAAGTTAGATTTGACAAACGTGGACTTCAGTGACGTAAAAGAAATGTTAAATAATGTGAGAAATAGCAATAGTGAAATAGTGGTGGAAAGTGTGGTGACACATAACATAAGTGTATGGACATTAGTTCTTTATTTTATAGTAGTAATAATAGTAATTGTTTTAATATTATTATTAAAGTTTAAATTGTATTCTATTTGCAATAAAAGAAATTCTCCGAAGTCACCTTTAGCCCCTTCGGATAATTTCTCTCTTAGGGAGGGAGGAGTTAAGAGTACCAACCCTATTAATATATGCTTTGCTAGCACTAAGCCGAATGTAGGTCGTGCGTCAGCAACGACCAATACTTAGTAAGTAAATCTGAATGTATAAATGCACGAAGAAATAGATATTAAGTTGATTATTGTTTAGTTCTTAATTAAGTGCTGTCACTCTGTTGATTTAAATAAATTATTTTTAAACCAAAAGTCCGTTGCCGTTCCTATACTCGTGCGCTGTGTCTGTGTGAGTTTTTGGCACTTCAGAGTCATGCCAAAATACGTAGGGCCTCTGTAGATACGAAACCCAATTCGGCAAGCATAATTTTTATGAGTTTGTATCTTGATTGTTTGACAATCTCAGAATCTATAGATTGGCATATCTAAATCTTTATATATATAATTCTTCTGTGAGTGTGTATGTCAATGAACTTCTCTCAAACGACTGGACCGATTTTGATGAAATTTTTTGTGCGTGTTCAAGGGGATCTGGGAATGGTTTAGATTCACAAATCAGCCCGGCATATGGCACTGCAGTCGGTACTTTCATACTTTGCTTAATATCCTAATCGCTTTAAATATCATGCAGGACAACGTCTGTGGGGTCCACTAGTCTGAATATATAAAACAAAGTCATGTTAGTTACACCACTTATAATTCAAGATCGGCTGGACCGATGTAACTTATCTCTTTTTAGGTGGATTTTTCTCCGCTCTGAATAGCAGAATAAGTAATAAAATATCAGATAAGTTATCGAATAAAAATAAATAAATATATTAATTTTACGAATGCAAACAGCATGCGGTGCCATCTGTTGACAAAATTACGCATATAAAAGAAACCTACCACTTTGTTCTTGCGCTGGATAACAAAACAAAAAAAAATCTATATTAGAAAGAAGCGTTATGAAGTACGCACAACGGACCAACCTCGAGTCTAATTGCGGAGAAAGGAGTCCTTCAACCCTAGAAAGAAGCGTTGGCCAAACAGTCCTTCGTTTATATGTGTAAAATTTTGGACGCCATTATTGCTCGTTATCAACTCGGTTTACGACGATAATTTAATTGCTACAGTGTGTTCATGATGAGTTTATATAATTAATAGTTTATCACCAGCTTTATGGCTTTGCATGTCTTACCCTATTTTGGTTCTTGGTTTATGCGTAACTAAGAAATTCCATGTTGGAGTGAAGAAATCCCTGTACCCTAAGATGCGTTTCTTTTCTTCACGCTTCCTCCCAGTTTAGGTCAAAAATAAAATATAAATATTTGTTGTTTTAATATTAGTGCAAACTGGGTTGGTGTCTACGTTTTAGAAAGTTCTAGCTTAAAGAACATCGCTCTGTTTGACCAATAATAAAAACGATTTTATTACAAAGCGGGTATTTGGAACAATGGTATTTAAAAATTATATTCAGTCACTGCGACCCAAGTGCTTTGGCCTCCGAAATGAGAAACTTACAACGACTCCTGTCTTGTGTTACATACCACCAATTGCTAGATTAAATAAAAAAATTAAAGTCTATTCATAAAATTTTCATATTTTCTTCGCCCTCGTTATTCATGATAATAAACATATTAGCTGTCAAAGTTCTCAAATTTAATAGGTCTTATAGAGACAACTAATAAGTCCATTCTCAACCAAAGATCATCAGAATGTCGACTATCAATTACAAATGAGTGCTTAGTTACTTTGGCCATATTGCCAGGAGAGAACCGAATAGTCTCGACAAGCTGGTAATGGGAAGGAGGAGTCATGGCAGGAGAAGTTGGGGTCGATTGCTTGCAGCGATCGACCACATAAAGACAATTATGTGTCTCAACATACCCGATACTCTGAGACAAGTTAAGAATAGTGTGTGGAGGCAGCAAGTAGACGTATCGGTTAGGGCTTTTCAAGACAGGAACAAGACCTTCAGTAATGACCCTTGCTTTATTAAAAATGTAAGATGTAATATAATTGTATAAGCACGCTTTATTAGAGCGAGGCCTATGGCTAGGGGGCCGATGGCTGGCCATGCGTCATACTCGTGAACGGGTGCTACTGGTGGTGACTGGTCGAACTTGAATTCGTGTATGCGGTGATTGGTTATTTCAACTTTGCGTGTTGCTCCCACGAGAATAAGTGCGTGCTCCTATTTCACTATGCCTACTGCTGATAGAGGACAAATCTTGGTTATTATTTTTTTATTTATTAATAATTAACTATTAATTACTTAAGAAGTCATGTGGGAACATGGTGTAATGGTTGCAGCTCCTTACAAACATTGTGTAAAGCAAAAAACTTGGTGATTAAAAATAGTGGCGTAGAGTTTATTACCAGTTCTTCTCGTCCGTTTTACACCCTTGATTTGAGAACTGGCAGTAAATGTAAAATTAGAAGCATTTAGCATTTAATATTTATTTCTTACTAACGTTCATAAGTGTACATTGTGATACCTAAATGAATAAATGATTTTGACTTTGTATTCATTAAAACATTTATAATAATTTTACTTTAATAACACGATTCTTTTGACTTTGACCTACATAAGAGATACTAAAGTAAATTATAATTTTTGTCCGAATAAAAGTCATTTATATTTGTATTAGGTAAACTTTTCTTGTTAGACCATCTGTTGCTTCGGGCTATTGTGTTTGGTACAAGATAATTTTTCATACGACGACTGACCTTTTAACTTTTGTCACTGCCAAGCTGTAACACGAAAATAATTGCGATACAACCTTCAGATTTTATAGACAAGTCGGGGATCCCTTCTGTTCCTGATAATTACCGTTTTTGGGTGTCAAATGTCATTCCAATGCATTTTTGAAGTACGGGAGTCAGACTTAGCGCTTAGTCTCATTTCTGAATCTTACCATACGGCTTGAAATAAATTGAAATAAAATTCCATTTTTGCACAGCTGGGGTTCGAACCTACGACCTCAGTGATGAGAGTCAGTCAAGCCATTATGCCAACAGTGCAAAAATAATGATATATAAACTTGTTTATTTATTCCGTAACCCTACAGCCAACATTAATTATATACAACAACACACAATTATACTAAATATTATAGCTAGTTGCATTACATAATATATACAAAAAATAATAAATGGCGTATAACTCTAAGGTTACTGGGTTTTATACCAGACGAAACAATAATTGTTGATGGCATATTGATAACCCACTTGCCGTAAATTAATAATGAAACTATAAATCATACCTACCTTAGTATTTTACATACATAAACAAATATTATTATTAGATTTATCGCTAAATCCTCTAATTGGACCATACAATTCGTAACTCAGCTTGATCTGGGCCAACATAGCAATTTACGACTCAATAAAGTCAGATTTTATACGCTAGAAGTCAAAAGGGTTTGTACTATATTATATATCTTATATCTATAATGAAACATGACTATGATAAGCAATACATAGTGACTTTTAATATTTTCCAACCAATTGGAATTAGGAACCTTCAAGAAGTACTAAAAGTTCGGTGTCGGTTGTTATACTCGGAAATATATTCAATATAAGAAGCTGAGTGTCAACTAGATTATACGTTTAAAGTATGAGCTTATACCTAACATATACATAGGGGTAGTGGGGTTGCGACACTAGCTATCATAGCTACTTTCACAGCGTTATGTCGTACGGTATTATACTGTGGGGTGTTGCTGCAGAGTTTCAATCCATATTTGTGCTGCAGAAGCGGGCTGTTCGGGGTATTTGTTGTGTTTCCCCAAGGGAGTCGGTACGGAATAAGTTTAGGGAATTAAATATTATGACACTATCTGGTCAATATATTCTTGAAGCCTTATGTACAAAAAATATAAAAAATACAAAAAATATAAACGGTTTTAAAACAAATGGTGACTTGGTACCAAGTAAAAACCTGAGGCGGCCTTCTCTCCATTATATCCAGAATATGAACCCGACCCGTAAGTATCCTAAATAAATACACCGACAAACATTAAACACGATCCACCCGGAAATCCGTGAACCCACATTTTAAATACTTCTTTATTTAAAAAAAGCTCAACGGTTTGATTTAAATAAAGAAGATCATCTCCATATTTTTTAGTAACCGAGTAATTTTTATTAGCTTTCGCACACAGCCTTATATATTTAATTACAACAAAATCACTTTAGTTGTAAAGTGTTTCTGATGTTTTACTTCAATGTCTTCTAGTAATGTCTTTGAAACCTCGTTCTTTTATCTCTTTACGTATTATCAATTAAGAAACATTAGCAATTTTTATGGTTTTATAAATCAGTGGCGCTACAACCTTTTTTTTATGTCTGGTCTGGCATTTCTGTGTCTGTTTTATGCTCATTTGTCAATCTAATAGGCAAGTAGGTGATCAGCCTTCTTTGCTGACACACGCCGTCGACTATTTGGGTCTAAGGCAAGCCGGTTTCCTCACGATGTTTTCCTTCACCATTCGAGTGAATGTTAAATGCGCACGTAGATAGAATTTCCATTGGTACACAGTCCAACACTGCTCTTCTGTTAGTCATATCAATAATTACATTAAAATCATGAAAACTAGGTAAGGCTTTACTAATTAGAAATATTCGATGAAGGTCACAATAATAAATTTTCCATTGAAGCAGTTTATTGAAATCATTCAGTAGGAAGCCTTAGGATCCTATAGAGCCCTAAAGTTAAAAGGCTTTGAGTGATTGAAATGCGAATCGGAAATACAGCTGAAATTATCAAGTTACTGAGAGATTAATCTTAGCTTGAATTCTAAAGTCAAGCATGCTTCCTGGCTGTGCCGAATTGATTTTAAAACCTCAATACTTGATTATACGGTGATGGATACTATCGTGAACCAGATTTAAGATCCAAAACAATGTATTAAAGGCAGTTTTTGCCGCGCACCACCACTCTGTGGAACCAGCTATCCACTGAAGTTTTCCAAACCAATTCGACCCTATCCTTCAATAAAAGAGCGTACCAATTCTTAAAAGGCCGGCAACACACTCGCGAGACTTCTGGCATTGAGAGTGTCCATGGGCGGCGGTATCTCATAACTTTAGATGAGCCTCCTGCCCGATTGCCTCCTATTACATAAAAAAATATGATTTCGTATAAATGTTACTTAAAATTATTGTTAGTGTCAATAAATTATTTTATTTTATTTATTTATTTATGCACCAACAAAGTAAACACTAATACAAGCATGTAACACAAACACAAACACAAGCCAAGTGCTACCCCAATTATAGGCGCATACAACATTCTAAATTTTTATAAACACATTAAAAGAAGAAAAAATAAAGTTAAGATAAAATAAAATAAAAACATTACAAAATTAATTGAATTAATTGAATAACCCCCATAAAGTCTTAATGAGTAATCACCTGAGCCGCTAACTTTTTGAAAATTGATGGGGAGTTTGAAAACAGATCTATTTGGGGGGAATTCACGACCCCCCCATTGCGATCCAATACCACCTTCAATTTCAACGCTATGAATTAAATTATAACTCCTTAAAGATCTATTTAATGGAGCATTCTGACCCAGATTTGATTTTGCAAACTTAATTCTGAAAGGAGGCTTTGCAAATCGTTGCAGCTTTTTAGGAACAGAAATGTTTACTCTGGACAAGATATCAGGGGTATCCAAAATTCCATTTATAAGTTTATACAGAAACATGATATCAAGCAGCTCTCTACGATGACGAAGTGATTTAAGGTGAAAATGTAATAGACGATCGTTATAACTAGGAAGTTTCCTAGCCATGTTGCAATTATAAAACACATACAGTCTAATATGTAGTGATTAAATTAGTTTCTTGTTTTGCCAAGAACAATTCGTCGTGTTTCTTAAATTGAGGTGGTATAAAACCCATTTTTATACTAATATGCAAAACAAATATGTAAATTACTGTTACACTCAATAATAAAATAACAATTACAAAAACTAACTATAGCAGGCACCAATATTACAAAAAGGAATTCACGGTAAATAATTAATTTTCAGAATACTCTGGCAATTCTGGATAAACTTGATATCGACAGTGAAAAGCCATCTGAAGAAGAGATTGCAAGAATCTTCGGGTATGAAGAATCTTACCTTGCTGGGGAGCTCGGCCCCTGGCAGAGGATCAAGCCCAAAGTCTGGGCCCTGTTTGACGAACCTTCTAGTTCACCTTCTGCAAAGGTAACCTTAAACGTCTGTGATAACACAGTAGAGTATAGTGGCATGGTATGTCTTGGCGTGGTCGTTCGTTCATTGACATTCAAATCCCCGCTGAATCCATGGATTTTTGAAGCTATACTTCTTTTGGCGCGTTAAGCGGGCCATAGACGGACCGCATGTTGCAGTCAAGACCGACTGCAATATGCGGTTTGCTCAGGAACTGCTCGAGCGGTCCGTGTATTGCGAATATGAATTTAGTATGGAAACTGCAGATCGCCGTGCGGCGACCGCTTAGAGCAGTCGGTAGCGGCTGCAACATGCGGTCCGTCTATGGCCCGCTTTAGGGAAAAATTAAGAGAGTAAATTTTTACGATGCCGTCACAAACCGACACAAAAAACCGACACCCTGAAGTTAGCTATAGTCAACATTTTAGATTTTTTGTGATCTTTAAATAAACTTTATTTAACTAGATAATGCATTATAATAAAACTTTTTTCTATTATTAGTGTCGTTTTTTCTACAAACGTAGAATACATTTTTTGAAAAGATTTTTATGTTGTTACGCCAAAGAAGTTTAACTTACTGGTGCTGTAAAATATCGTGAGGTACTGTGTGAATGGCATGTCTTGGACCTAGAGATGAACTATGAATTCTGAATCATTGGAAATCGATTCGTACGAACAGGTCATAATTCTAAATTCTGATACAACGGTCTATTGTATCGCAGTGATGAAAAATTACGTATATATATTATATTTAATTTCTATATACTAAGTTATTAACATATATGTCAGAGATTATGTAGTAAGAGAACACGATGTCATTTATTTATTAGAATAGCAACACCATGCAAAATCTTGCAAGTTGTAAATAGTCAATGTGTCAAAGTCAATTTGTCAGTAGTGGGTTGAATCGATCGTTGAGTTCAATATTGTTCTCTGATCGGCGACTACCTTATAATCTCTTCGAATCTGTAACATATATTAAAGATTTTGATATATATTTAAAAGAAACCACAAAACGGAGTAATCGCCGGTATTCGATTTACGATTCGATTTAGGATTTTTTGATTGAATGGAAAATTAAATACGGCATTGAGTCGGTAACCAAATCAAAACAAATTTTGGAGTTACCTCCTAATACTGCCTGAAGGCTTTGCGGCCTAGCGCTGTTGTAAATTGATGTATCAGTTTCTAATACTGGATGAAGCGTATTTTATTATTGGATCTGTAATTTGTTTTTGGCTCTGGTGGGTTGTGACCAATAATCATTACGATAATGACATGTCAGATCAGAGGGCTGTTTAGGGAAGATAGAATAAGCTATTAAGATATTGCTAAGACCATAGTTAGTAAATGTACGGCCATCTTGTATTATGTAGTTAACGGCAAGTTTATATAATAATAACTTGCGAGTGATTTTTTTATGTAATAGGAAGCAAAGGGGCATGAGGCTCATCTGATGTTTAGTGATACGGCCGCCCATGGACACTCACATTTCCAGAAGATTCGCAAGTGCGTTGCCGGACGAAGAATTGGTACGTTCTTTTCTTGAAGGAAAAGCTGGTTCCACATAGTGGTGGTGCGCGGCAATAATTGCCTTAAAAACGCTCAGTTGTTGTCCATGCTCCAAGTGAGCAACTGAGGTCTCATAAAAAAAATCCATGAAAATTGGAAAAATTTAATTTGTTTCGAATGCTTTCAATCACTTACTCGCGTTAGCTAAAAATATTATTCTGCATATTCCAATACCTTGCGGTAATAAATCAAGTGAATCGCAAATAACTCTGGATTGGGGTGACTCAACAAATCAAATTGTTGGGACTCGCATAAATTACTAAGCCGATTTCGTAATATTTAAATGTACGCAAATATTAAATACAAAACCACATTTTGGGAGTGACGAAACTCGAAGTATTTTACAAATAGATACGCATTACATTACTTGTTTACGTTGCTAAAAAATATTTTTATTATTTGTGTGTAAGATTTTAAAAATAGTTTAACTTTTAGTAAACTGTATACCAAATAATAAAAAAAACTCGAATTTACAGGCTTCTAAATGTTTTATAATTCGAACGATAGCGAACCAATTTTCAGATCAAAACTGATAAATTAAAGATAAAAAAATATTTGGTAGATAATTAGAAACTTAAATTATACTAATTATAATTTTGTTAACTATACTGTTTTTATAACTATAATTAAAATATAATTACTACTATATTTTAGTAAAAAGCCGCTTAGCAACTGTTCAGACCAAGTACATATATACAGCACATAGGACAGCAAACAATAAAATACAATGTTTCGTATGAAATGTAATTTATTATTATTAAATTAGTTTAGTATCAGTTTTTTATATATACCTTTTTTTACGTCAAAAACGCTTTCTTCTGTTAAAACATATGTACTGTATTTTTGTAAATAGCCATTAGAATCGGTATAAATAAATTAGCTAATAATTGGTATAAAAAGGCCTATCGACGTCGCTGTTACTTAAATTTTAAACTAGTTACGCGTCAAAATGTGTCCTATGCTCCATATGGGGACCTCGGGTCTCCATTTTCATCCTTTAATCGTAAAACATAGCAATCCCAAAGGATTTTTGAAGGAGACTTCAAGAACGCTTTAACTTTTTATTAGCTGCTGAATTTCTGCGAACCATCTTGGTTTCGGTTCAATGAAATTTGTGGCTACAAATACTAGAGTTTGCTGTCAAAAGCTGAGCATTTGTCTCACAAAATAAACTAGTTTTTTATGTGTAATGAATAAAATATCACTGCAGTTAATTTAAATAAGTTTTCATTTCGAATATTTCTTTTCTGCGATTACGTGATAGTTACAAGCCGATTATACCTTTAATTAAAAAAAAAACAAATAATATTTGCCGGGAATCAAACTCAGAAGCTTCGAAACGCTAAAATATTTGCCTTAAATTCACAGAAGAAAATATTATATCGGACTTCCCTCATTCATTCTGGTCTCTAAAAATGTTGTGTTTTAATCACATCATTCTTAATTTATAATTTCGAGAATCAAACCCAGAATGGGCTTTGTACAGTAATCACTAAGCCAAGTAGGATAACGTGTCAGCTACAAGCCGAATGCAAGTTATATTTAAAAAAAAAACAGATAATATTTTCCGGGAATCAAACTTAGAAGTGTCGAAACTCTAAAAGATTTGCGTTAAATTCACAAACGAAAATATTTTATCGGACATTCCACATTCATACAATTTAATAAAAGGACATTTCCTTAGAAGCCTTGAATATTGGATTAACTTGAGTAATATAATTTGCTTAGAATTCTTTCCTGTACTTATATCCATTATATGGAATTATTGGCTTTTATCTCTGCGGGAAACTTTGTCGGAAAATTTGAAGGTTGTTTCGAGTTACCGTTTTTTCTTTATTCTGTTTACTAAAGGTACTATATTATTTCATGACTAAAAGACAAATAAGAAATACAATTAAGTTTCAAAAAGGTTTGGGATTGGATCCCAAATAAATTAAATAAATATTTTATATTTATATGTATCAGTGTAACACACAAAACCGCATCAAGGTTATTTAAATTGTTTTAAACTCATTTAGTAAATTTTATTTTAATTTGATATGTGGTTTCAGTCACGTAAATGAAATATTATGTTATGTTATTTTGATTAAAATATACAATAAAGCTTGGTCATATAGCCGGCCATTAGAATAGGCCGGCTATATACTAGGGACTTTGCCGTCATTGTTATTGGCAGCGGGCAGCGATTAAACGCAATCCGCTTCGCTTATAACTGTTAAAATGATAAAAAATGTAGTTTATTGGTATAAATATAATTTATAGGTATAATATTTGTATTGAATTTTAGTTTAACAATCAAATAAGTAAGCAAACCGAGTTGGCAACCATACCTACAAAAATTCAAAAATCATTTATTCATATAGGTAACGAAATGAACACTTATGAACGTCAAAAAATAAATATATATGAAATGCTTCTAAATTTACATTTACTGCCAGTTCTCAAATCAAGGGCGTAGAACGGAAGAGAAGAACTGGCTATAAACAATGGTATAAAAAAGGGATTAAACGTAACTAGACCACCCATAAATAAATCAAGTCACAGTATTTGTTAGGCTAGCGTCGCAACCCCACCCCTAATTTTTTATTTATTTTATTTATTAACACTTCGTTGCATATACATTAATATAGTACAATTGACATAATTAAATAAAAAGGAGAGCAACTGGCGGCCTTATCGCTTTCGAGCGATCTCTTCCAGGCAACCACTGTGAGAAGAAAAAAAAGTATTTTAGTATTTAATTTTGTAATTTAATATAAGTCTTTCCTCCAACTTCGATTTTGTTCCCTTTGGAGTAGAGACTCTCGGGCCGTGTGGTTCAAGTGCACAGGCGCTAAGCTGTTGAGCTGGCACTTTCCTGGCTCAACGAATAAGTATCGCAATACAGAGAGGAAATGCTTCCAGCGTTAAAGGTACACTGCCATATGGACCAAACTTTTTAAATTTGTTTTGATTTTTTTTTAATAATTTTTATGCCTACTTTGTAGGTTAAGAATATTGAAAATACTGAATACTTGATTGTAAATAAAGTTTTATGTAAATTTTAATGTACATTTTAAATGCCAGATAAAAAAAAAAACATTGATATCTCACACCCCGCTCCGCTTGATGTCGTGTTCCGATCAGAGCTTTTTATCGAGTCGTACTTCAATAGAAACTTGCATGGAAGCCGCAGCCTTTCAAAGTGAAAACTCATTACAGCAAGCGCTGTTTATTGCCAACTGAGATTCCAGACTTATTGAAGAAATTCATTTCCGATCTGTAAACGAACTTGTAGCATCTGGTGTCTATAAAACTTTAAAGTCTGTGGTCACAGTTTTTTATTCAGGAATCTGGCGTTGGCGTTTACACATATTCTTTTTTCAGTAATCATTGCAAGCTTAGGGTCTTGCGTTACTTTTTAGCTAATATTAAAATGGCTGGCTATATATCTGTTATAGGATAAAATTTGTCATTTACGTTTGTAATATTTATTTATTTGCTTATCAGTATTCCTACAAATACGTATTATACAACATCTAAACAGTTACATTATACACAACAACGGAATAAACATTCAGATATAAACATAAAACACA